ATTAACCTTTTTCATAGTAAGAGACAAATTCACCCCAGTTCCCCCAAGACGTGCAGGGCTGCTGGAGGGGAAGCATATGTGCAGGGTGTGTGTGATACTAACAAATTCATTGATCTTCACAGGCTCAAGAGTAAGTGCTTACATGACAAGGAAACAGATCCTCTTGTGCAAGGCGTGTAACTTCTGGGCTTACATGACAAAATGACCTTTTGGAAACAGATCCTCTTGTGCAAGGCGTGTAACTTCTGGGCTGTCTCTTTTCTGTGTCGCAAGAAGACTTTGGAGTCTATTTCTAAAAATAAGTTTCAGACTTCATTTGACCTGCATCCCAAATGATAGCATTTTTACTTTACACCAACAGATTCCTTAGCCCCTCCAATCAAGCAGAAAGCTCGTTTTAAAATTAAAGATGCCAAGTGCCATTTACGGCCTCGCAGCAAAGAAAAAACAAAAGATTCTGGGAAGCAAGCTGGTTTAGGTATGTGGTTTCTTCTAACATGTGAATAGCATTCTGATTTTTTGTTTGTTTGCTTGCTTGTTTGCATATTTTATTTTTTTTTCCACGCTGCAGACAGAAAAGGAAGTAATGGTTTTCATGTTTGGATCTGAATTTACATTCAGGCCAAGCTTCACACTCTAGCTGAACAGTAAATAAACAGTAGTTTGGATCTAACAGTGCTGAACTGTCACCAGTTGCTTTGGAAAAAAACATCATTTAAAAGCATATGAGTATGGAATGAAGCTGATCCTTTTCCTGATATTCTGCCATTATTATTGGTAATAGCAGAAATATCCTGAGGCAAAATCTATGACCACTGCAACATTACATGAAACAGTATCATCTTGCTTTCATTTAGTTTTCTCAGATGACTTCTGTAAAGGAAAACAAAAGCTATTATTTGCTTGCTTTACCCTGGATTAGTATCCCACTGCTGCAGCAAAGACAGCCCCTGAGTGGGAAAGTTATAATCAAAATCTGAGGTTACACAGCCTTAGATCTTTTGTTACATTGAAGTGAGTAGTTAGGATGTTAGAAAAAATATTTAGAAGATTTAGACAAAATTACCAAAAATAAGAAATTTTTAAATGGGTTGTGTTGACCTGAATCAAAGTAATCAAACATTTTAAAAACTTGCTATGACTAGGTATGGGGTTTATTATTATTGGTTTTGACCAATACATCACTTTAAAAGTGAACATCACTTTTAAAGTTGAACAAAAAAAAGAGATTTTAAAAGTGCTATGTCTTTAAAATATGACATTTGTAATGTCCTATTACAATAATTTATTTATGACTTCATAACACTTATTTCTTGTCCTCTATCCCTTTATTGTCCTGACTGGGACAATTAAAGAGTGTTTGAGTGTTATTGCTTAAAATATTTAGAGTTCATTTGAATTTAATTTTAACTTTAAATTTTGCAGATTTTAAAACACAGTATTGGTGTAGTTTCAGTAGCTCATACTGTTCTTAAAGCAGCTCAGAAGCTTGTATCAAACATCTCCTGGTGATATAGTCTATGTTTTGGATCCATCTTGCCACCACTTTTGCTAGGGAGTGAGGAGCTGTCTATAAGCCCTGAATGGAGAAGAGTAAAAATAGCTATGCTAAAAAAAAAATGCTAATGGTTTAAAGACTTTTATTTTTAAAATTTAGGTTCAAATTTTATTTTACACTGCAACTGAGACATTTATCTCTCTGAATTTCCAAATATTGGCTTAAAACAAGTCTCAGTCAACAAGTCAAGATGTCCTTGCTCATCCTTATGTATCGTCTTCTTTTAATAAGATGTGATAATCAGGCTCATTTTTAAAGTCATAGAAGTTTATTTTTTTGTCACAGAGTATTTCTTGGATGCTTTTTCTAGTCTTCTGCTTGCTTTGCTTTGTGTTTGTTATGTCATCTGAACTTCTGGGTCTAACAGTAAGACTATATCATACAACCACACACTTGGAATGAAAGCCTTCTGGTGGCTTGAGTGCTAGAAATTTCTCCCTCACCTGGAAGATGCATGGCCTGTCACAAAATGGATGTTTTTGACTTAGATTTGTTATATAGGGAGAGGATGCTTACATGACTGTGTCACAAGAGATTGTGGCCTTTTTCTCCTCAGTGGCTACATGTCACTGACAAGGGCATTCAGTTCCTTTGGCTTGTGATAGGATGAGAGGAAATGGCCTCAGGTTGTGCCAGAGGAGGTTTAGATTGGATATTGGGAACAAATTCTTCACAGAAAGAGTTATCAAGCACTGTAACAGGCTGACCAGGGGAGTGGTGTAGTCACCTTCCCCAAAGTTATTTAAAAGATGTGTTGATGTGGTGCTTAGGGACATGGTGGTGGACTTGGAAGTGTTGGGGTTCAGTTGGACTCACTCTTGGTCTTTTCCAAGCTAAATCATTCTATGTTTTCCCCTCCAATGAAGCCTGCAAATACATTCTCCTCCCAATCAAAGGCTTTTAAACCCCTTGATATCTGTTGATTGTCATTGCTGAAAAAGATTGAATACCAGCTGGTAGTTTCAACCATCAAATGACTCTGTATAGTACTGCTTGTCTTAACTAAATTCTGTAAAGCACTTTCTAATCCTTGTGGAGAAGAGAGGCAGGCAGCTGTAGGCATTAGAGGTAGCCCTGTGCAGCTAAACATCACCATGCTGTATTTCTGCCTCCTGCATTCACTCGTGTAAGGAGGAAACCCAAAATTGCCCAAAGATGCAGGCGTCTAACAACACATGTGAAACGTTATGAAGTCTGTCACTGCATTCATGATAACCCAGCTGAGATATTGCTTATCACCCTGTTGCTGGCTACTTTGCTACTTGATTTCTTTTCTGTGTTGCTTCTCTTATGCAAAGGAGGTCAATTCCCTTGCACAGACAACTGCCAGGTGACCTTTGTGAACCTCAAGTGCGATTCCTCCAAGAAGAAGCGCCGAGGCCGCAAGTCACCATCCAAAGAAGTATCCCATATCACTGCAGAGTTTGAAGTGGAGATGAAGTCAGAAGAAGTCTCAGGTTTGTGAAAGATCTCCCTGTGGAGAGAAATCAGAATTCAGTTCCTTGGTTTGTTGTTAGATTCTCTTTGATGATGTTTCACCAAGCTGCCATGCAAACCTTTTAGCAAAAGCCTCGTTCAACAGCCTTTCCAAACTCAAAAGTTTCAGGGTTTTAATTGAAAGGATCAAAGATTGAACCAGCAGCAAAATTCCTTCAAAGCCTTGAGTTAAGTCATGTATTTTAGTTTAGTCTGATTTCTTTAAGCAGCAGAAGTGCCAACTGATGTATATAGAATGTAAGGATTAGGTAAAAGTTCTGCAATGATGACAATAAAAATAGCCTCCAAACTGTAAGCTGCTGAAACTTCAGTCTGAGAATCAAACACATCTATTACGTATTTGTGTTTCTGTAACAAACTTCAGGAAGAAAAACAATTGCTTCAAGTTATTCATGAGATGGAATATCATAAAATGCTATAAAATCTAGCCAAAGAAAACATGGGCTGAATTTTATAAAGACATCCATCCTCAAAGGCAAGTTTCTTAACCCTGAGGGGCACCTCACTAGTTCAGTGATTCAAACAGAATTGTGCCAGAAAACACCTTTCTGTGTGCCACTCGGATGTTTTGGTGAGGGAAATGGGAAGAATCCATAATCAAATGAGGAAAGCATGGGCAGGGAACAGTCAGACACAAGAGTGGTGGCAGACTGTGCATATATCCAGAAGTACAACACAATGGGATTGATGCTTTCTGCAGTCCCTCTCTCTGTGCCCTCAGTATAACCAGGCTTCTTAATGCCAGAGGCAGGGTAGCTGCACTCAGTGTGTGTGTATGGGCTGTGAAACTCAGTTTGCTTGACCTCAGTCTACTGTCTTGTCCCTTTATAAGGCCTGGATTTGGATACAACGAGCTGCTTCTCTGCTTTTATCATCTTAATGATATGGAGAAGACAGTGAAGCAAACAGGTGCCCCAGCATGCTGCAGGCTGAGCTTTTTGTTAAGCACCTCTTTTTAAACATGAATCTCAATTGCTTCTAGTTTTGTTATCGTTTCCCATCTAGACACCTGTAACATTGACTGTGTTCGGAAAAGGATGGAGCAGAAGCTGCAAACTGCAATCAAAACATTGAGGAAATCTATTAATAAACAGCAATTTTACATTCAGTTTTCTGGGACAGAATATGAAGTGGCTCAGAAGCCAGCTAAAGCTACTGAAGGGCACGAAGCTTGCAGTACAGGGCAAGTGTTGCAGGATGGAAAATGTGGTAAGTCCCAAAAGCTTTGTTCAGCCCTATCCCCCAAAACAAGCCATCCAAAATGAACTTGTCCCTAGTCAGGCAGACACTCTATGAGGTAACAGATGATCTGGATCATCATCTCTCAGCATATCTGCATGGACCACTGATGGTTCATAAAGCTTAATTTCATTTCCATAAGGAAAGCAGCATACCCATGCATCCATTCCCATGCTGGCAGCTGGTAGGTATCAAGGCCTGCCACAAGGCAGTGTTGGCAGCCAGTTGTTCCCACTTGCTCCCAGCATCTTAATGAAATTCTGTAATAATTACAATTCTGTAGAACAATCATATGGTGTTTGGCTAGATGCTCTGTATTTAGTTTTACATTACCTGTCTCACTCCTCTCACCACCAAATATCCCGTGACCTATGGATATATTTGTATTTAACACTCAAGAGGTTAAAAAAACAACCAAACAAACAAAAACAAAACCCCAAAAACAAACCAAAAAACCAAACCAACACCAAAGTATAGGAATCTATTTTAACTTTTGTAAAATACCTGATTTTTTAAAGCCCTTTCCCAGGTTATCAGGCTCTAGGGCTTTACTGGGGGTGAGCTGCTAGTGCAATCCTACTAATGGCAGTTCTAAGCTCTGCAAGCTTTCTAATCAGAGTGATCTTTTCAAAATTGGCTTATCTGTTTTTCCAGCTTCTTTTAGACACCGAGTGGTTTACAAGCAAAAAGAAGTAGTTAAGTGCAGGTCTGGTAGGTACCTCTGATGTTGTTCAGAGGCTTTTTTCAGCATATAGGAACAGTGATTTAGAAACTGCATTGAAAGACTGTTGCTATTAGTGTGTAGAAACCCATATGTTTTAACTACCTATATCCAGTGGAGAAAAATGTTTACTGCAGTTATGTACCCTGCTGCAGCAAGGAAAGCAGGTGTATTCGTGTCTGTGTTTAAAATGCTTTCCAGTTGGGCTATTTGAGTGTCAAAAGACAGAAAACATTACATGGGATACATTGCCCTTGGAGAATTCTCTAGAACTGATCTCAGGAGACAGACTTTTTATGGTCATCTTCCATAAAACCAAGTAAATACACCTAAAAATTCACTAAAAAACTTTAAAATTCCCATCACTTCCCATACATTATGCACCATTGTTTTAATTAAACTGCAGTATACTGCCTAAAGACTGCACCAGCTTTGTTAACAGTACATTCTCATTAACTGTTAACAGTTCTCATGAACACTTCAGTGCAGTGCCATTTAGCAGCTTAAACAGCAGAAGAAGGACCTCACCCTGATGTAAATTGACCTAGACCACATGGAGATGGGCCTGTTTACATCAGGTGAGGGTCCTGGCCTAACATATGCAAAACATATGCCATTATAATGCTGGGGCCAAAGAGCTCCATCTTCTCTAAATGTTGGATATAAAGGCAAATAAGGTGATCAAATCAAAGTCCTTATAGAGACTGTCCTTTTCTTTTCTCAGTTACCTGCAGCACAGGCACCTTTTATAGCGGAGAACAGAATCAGTGCGTTCCCTGCTCACCAGGAACATACCAAGACACAGAAGGTCAACTCACCTGTGAGCCTTGCCCAAGCAACGATGGACAGGGAGTAGCAGGCGCCCGGAACGTCTCAGAATGTGGAGGCAAGTTTCATTTGGTTATACAAGGTTAGGTGTTGCCACACAGCCTGCGAGGCATGGAGGCTGAAAAAAGGGGAGAGCCTTCCACACTTCTGTCTTGTAACTGAAGAAATCTCTGTGTGCTTACAAGCAATCTGCAAAATCTTTTTGCTTGTTGCATGCCCTGACGTTGCAGAGCAGAAGGTGGGACCTGCTGCAGCAGTGTGAGCTGTGGTATGGAAATGAGCAAGTCAGGCAAGGCACTTGGCTTTGGGTTGGGTGTGGAGTGTGGACATAGCTTGACTCCTAAGGACTCGTCAGGTATGTTGTGACCCAAAGGGATGGATTACTTTGGACTGGTATTGGTGAGTCTAATGAGCCTGCTGATTCAATGTGTTGCATAAGGTGCAGTTTACCTGGTCTAATCAGCAGCAATCATTATTTTGAGATGGGTAAGCTGCAGGGACCTGTGACCTGCACTCAGACCTAATGACTGCAAGTTTCAACACTGCTTGAATCTGCTGTGGCTTTTGGCAGGTGAAGTAGCACTTCTGACTCAACTTCATGATATATAAATTAGACAATGATAGTGATAACACCTGATTTCAAAAAAAAAATGTGCTTCTACTTGCTCAAGATAAGGTTTTAAGACACAGCAATTATTTTTCTCTACCTTATTTTAGTACAGATGAACAAAATCTAGTTTATAGCAGATAATTTATTTAACTTTGAAGGAAATCTGTCCTGTCTGCTATGCAAGTTCTAACTTTAAAACTCATTCTTCTAATTTACATTAATGCTTTCTTCGAGGCTATCTAGAGTTAGAACATAGTATCATAGAATCCTTTAGGTTGGAAGGGACCTCCAAGATCATCAAGTCCAACCACTGAGCCATCAGGGCTCCAAAGTCCTCTGCTAAAACAGATCAGAATCTGTCAGGGTTGGAAGGGACCACAAGGATCCCCCAGTTCCAACCCCTCTGCCAGGAGCAGGGACACCAGGTTAAGTAGCACTTCTGACTCAACTTCATGATATATAAATTAGACAATGATAGTGATAACACCTGATTTCAAAAAAAAAATGTGCTTCTACTTGCTCAAGATAAGGTTTTAAGACACAGCAATTATTTTTCTCTACCTTATTTTAGTACAGATGAACAAAATCTAGTTTATAGCAGATAATTTATTTAACTTTGAAGGAAATCTGTCCTGTCTGCTATGCAAGTTCTAACTTTAAAACTCATTCTTCTAATTTACATTAATGCTTTCTTCGAGGCTATCTAGAGTGAGAACATGATGAATGTCACTTCAGAAACTGCCACTTTTTCCCCATCCACTGAATAAAAAATAACTGTAGTGTCTCCACTCCAAACATATGGTAGATTTTTCTGATTTACTCTATGGAGGAACTATCACAGGAAAATTCTCAAAATGCCTGTGCATCTTTGCTACATTGATTTGTATTTATCTGAAATCTAACAAGAATACATTATCAAAAGAAAAATCTGAGTTTATAAAGGTTGACTGTAACATACTGAACAAAGGAGCAAAACAATTAGAGGAAAAAGACTTTTTTGTTTCAAGGGTTGCATTTTAATTTTCCTTTTGCAGAAAACCAAAAAAGGAGCCCTCTTGATTATTTTTGCAGAGTGGATTTGTCTCAAAATGTTTATTGTCAGATCACCACAGCCTGTTTTTCTGCTCAGCTCTCCCCTTTTCTCTAAAAGTGACAAGAGAGAATATGCTTTGGACTTCGATAAACCACCTTGTCAAAGATGGTACCAAAATCAGCACGTCTGATAAGATGTGTTGTGTCACAACAGCCAGCCTGTACAGTCATATTCTGGCCAGCTGGGGTGGGAGCAAAGCTAAATCCCAGAGATCCTGGTCCCACAGGTGTCTGTAGGAGCTTGACTTTTGTGGGGACAGAACCTGAACTTTTGCTAGCAAAATCTCTGGTTCATCCTGAGTGCCATGTGTATCTAGGATGTTGGAGGCCCTCAACGTTTTCTGGCAAGTATCAGGGTTCTTAAGGTTTCCCCCATCCCACCTAGAGGTCTCCAAATTTTAAGGCTTTCAAGCCAGTTGTTTCTGCCTTCTGGTCAGTTCTCAGGGAAGCTAAATTACCAAATTTTGGGATGAGGCAACCTCAAACAACACCTAACATCTCAAAGTGCTGGTCTCCCAGGCTGGGATGGTGTGAAGATATGCATTGATGCCATAATCATAGAACAGCTTAGGTTTCAAGGGAACCTACAGACCATCTAATCCAACCTCCCTGCCACAGGCAGGGACACCTCTCAGCTAGACCAGGTTGCTCAAGGCCTCATCCAGCCTGGCATTAAACACCTCCAGGGAGGGGACATCCACAACCTCTCTGGGCAATCTATCCCAGAGTCTTGCCACCCGTGGACTGACAAACTTCTTCCTAAGATCTAGCCTAAACCTGCTCTCCTTCAGGTCAAAACTATTTCCCCTTGTCCTGTTGCTGGTCACTCTTGGGAAAAGTCCCTGACTTCCTGATTCTCAGGTAGGTTGTCAAGGAGTAAAGTATTCAAAGTAGCAAGAACACACAAGCCAAACACACACCTACCAGAAACTGCCTGCAGAGCAGTTTTGGAAACTTCCTTGTGTCTGTCCATAGACCCATTCACAAAGTGCTTTGCTTTACACAAGTCACCATTTTCTGGTGGAAGAGCTTCTGACTGGCACTAGTTTTCACAGCTACCTGGAAGACTTCTGGTGTCAAATATTCTCACAAGACAGGGTGCTGGACTGGTCCCATCCAATCTGGTAAACCCCATGATGTACCGTTTCTAGATCTATAAAATGGAGATATTAAAAACCCAAATTACTTCATAGATATGGTGCAAAGATGCATTTTTTTTTCCTACAAAGTGCTTTGAAATTCTCAGAGGAAAGACAAAAAAACAAGCAGAAACCGGTAGCAAAGAGCTTATTAAGAAACTAATTGTATTTACTAGTGTTTTTTTGGGAAGCTATTACAGGAACAATACAAAATCATCAAATGAGATTAGAATTTGATCTGCAGCTGTCTTGATGTCATGTGTTTAAGTTAAAGGAAGCATTGCTAAATATCAGTGGGTTTTCTACTTTGTGCAGAAAAGTTGTCTCACTAATACACTCATTTTCAAAAGTTGTCTCACTAATTTTCAATTTCTAGGGCAGTGTGCTCCTGGGCAGTATTCTTCAGATGGTTTTAAGCCTTGTAGAGTCTGTCTTCTTGGTACATACCAGCCTGAACCAGGACGGACCCTCTGCTTTCCATGTGGTGGTGGACTTGTCACCAAATATGAAGGTGCTGTTTCCTTTCAAGACTGTGAAACCAAAGGTAAATTTTAAATCCTTCTTGCTGCTTGGCCTTTTCTTTGTAGTTTTCAATGCCAAAGGACTTTAAAGGCTCCACAATAACCATAGTTAATACATGTAGAAATGCAGTGTGTGATGAAATTAAATGGTGAGGAAGTCTATAAACTAGGAATGGTTCTTCAGAGGTTGTGGAGGCTGAACAGGCTTTATTGTTTTCTCTGGAATTTACCACAGGTAGGGATGGAGCCAGCGCTGCAGCTGGTGAGTGAATCAGCCCCACTGCGTGGCAAGAAATCAGACAAACTTGCAATATATATTGCTTTAGCCTTCATACCCTGTATATTTTTATTTACCAAATTAGGAAAAATAAATACTACAAAAATTACCTGAAGCTAAGGATTGGTTGTTAATGGGCTAAGCAGAAGCAGCAAGCGTGCGACACGCTGCGTGTTCTACAGTGTCAACTTCCAGTGGAAATGCTGAAGAAAGAATCTGCCCAGATGCATTTTGGTTGAGTTATGGGAATGACATGCTGGCCCTGGCAGTCAGCCACTGAGGGAGATCTTTCTCCTGCTGTTGTGGAAGGCATTCTTGTTGAGGCAGAGAGGTTAGCAGCCGCCATTGGTGGCAAACTTACTGGAGACCACTATATTAATGCTGAGGGACATATATAGCACCTGTTAATTGTTCCTAAGGGTTTAGTTCTAGCCTTTGGAACATAATTTTAAAGTCTTTTGTAATGGGAAACACATTGTGATGTGATGGTGCCTTTTTTTGCCTTTTATGGCCTAATGAGTATATTGCAGAATGGGGATCATGAGGTGTGTCCAGGTTAGAGGACAGTTGCCTCTGCACTGAAGATTGCTACTTCTTGATAATAACATGCCTCACACCTTACAGTTCATTGTTCTCCTGGACACTACTACAACTCCACAACCCACAGATGCATCCGATGCCCTGTGGGAACATACCAGCCTGAGTTTGGTCAAAACTACTGCATCACCTGCCCTGGGAACACAAGTACAGATTTTGATGGCTCTACTAATGTTACACACTGCAAAAGTAAGTTGTGTTTATATTCATAGAATCATAGGGGTTGGAAGGGACCTCAAAAGTTCATCTAGTCCAACCCCCCTGCCAGAGCAGGGTCACCTAGAGTACATCACACAGGAAGGCATCCAGGTGGGTTTTGAATGAAGCCTCCACAACCTCTCTGGGCAGCCTGTTCCAGTGCTCTATTACCCTCACAGTGAAAAATTTTTTCCTGATATTCACCTTGAACCTCCTATGCTCCAATTTGCACCCATTACCCCTTGTCCTATCACAGGTCATCACTGAAAAAAGCTTAATTCCATCTTCCTGACACTCACCCTTTACATATTTATAAACATTGATGAGGTCACCCCTCAGTCTCCTTTTCTCCAGGCTAAAGAGACCCAGCTCCCTCAGCCTTTCCTCATAAGGGAGATGCTCCACTCCCCTAATCATCTTTGTAGCCCTACGCTGGACTCTCTCCAGCAGTTCCTTGTCCTTCTTGAACTAATTGCCAGGTAACAACAGTGAAATACTCTCATAGGGCTTTTTGAAGTACTCAGCTTCCTATCTTCAGTTCCCCTTTTAAATATCCCCAACGATTCCAGTGCAATTTTATGTGATCTTTTGTGAGCAACTGATTCTTTTAGGCAAGCAATTTTTTTTGTCTCTACAATGCTAATTTAAAATAGCTTCTCTATAATAATTAGGTAATGTCTTCTAAACTTAACTATTCATGTGAAAATCTATCATAAGCTTTTGTTCTGGTTATGTGCCATATGTCTTCGAAGCCCTTCATTATTTCTAATGTAATTTGGGTTCATTAGGTATTTGTAAGGAACTTGAAGAAGTTTGAGTCTCCTATAAAATCTTTGTCACTTTGCTGTTTTAGATACTCCCTGTTTTCAAGCCAGTTTCTGACCTTGCATCATCTTTGAGGCTTGGATTAAACAAAATATTTAAACATATATCTCATTTTATGTGGGTGAGCAGGCCTAAGTAACTTACTGTACTTACTGCTGTGGCAAGCAGGAGTTTTGAAACCTCTGAAAGTAAAAGCAATGCATTAATGGAGATTCTTTATTCACTGGTTAAGCTAAGATAAAGCAAAGCAGATGTGTAATCACCATAACGTTGGCTGTTATGATCATCACATTCATTCAGCTAAATTGGGTTAAAAACAAGTGAAGCTGGACCAGAATACCTCCTGCAGGTCTTGATAGTGACCACCACGTGTGTCCCACCACAGTGGGATTGTGCTTACCTACCTGTGTTTGTTTCTTAACCATGTTAAAGCAGCCCAAATGAAGCATTGAATCAGTTTATGCCCCAGAGATGAAGGTTTTGCAGACGAGTTGGAGCAGCCCTGCAGATAAGTCATTCCTTTAAAGGCTTTCCATGCTGAACAGAGGCAGCTGGAGAGTGTGTGCCTTTCTAAAGCCACAAGGAGGAGTTCAGAGTTGCTCTTGACAGAGCTAGAAACACACCTCAAGTCAGCGAATGAGCTAATGCAAATGGGAATTTTGTTTCTGCACAGACCAGCACTGTGGAGGAGAGCTTGGGGATTATACTGGCTACATTGAATCACCCAACTATCCTGGAGACTACCCAGCTAATGTTGAATGCATCTGGAATATAAATCCACCCCCAAAGAGGAGAATACTCATCGTTGTACCTGAGATATTTCTCCCCATTGAAGATGAATGTGGTGATGTTTTAGTAATGAGAAAAAGTGGTAAGTTGCCAGACAGGGGTTCTATAAATATTCATTGCAAAGGGACTGAGTGGAAGGTTCATACTGAAGGGATGACTGTCTTCATCTAGCTAGTGTTTCTAAAAGGATTATTGAATGAACTGGAACAGCAAGTTAGAACACTGTGCCAATAACAATTAACAGAGTGATGTTCAAGTGTCTTGGCTGAATCACAAAGCAGTTCATGGGCTTTGATCTGGCCCAGTTACCATGTGGGATAAATCACTGCCACTCCAGAAGTCAACAGAGCCATGCTGAGTTGCACTGGGAAAGCCATCTCTTCTCATCTGTAGAGTGTGCCTCACAACTTGCAAGGGATAAGTGCCTTGCAAGCATATACATGGTGCAGATATTACTACATCTGGGCAGTGACAGAGGTTGGTACACCTGACACCATCAAGAAAGCAAAATTTTTTGCAATTTTATGTGGAGTAGGAGCTGCATTTTTGTCTTTGATTATGAAGTTAATGCAGCAGCTTCTGAAGTTAAGTGTGTAGGCACCCAGCTTCTGGTGATCTCTTGCTAAATCTCCAAGAAGCACCAAACCTGAAAAGCAATTGTTTAAATGGGACTTTAAAGCAGCATACTTTAGTTGCTAAAACAGTGTATTTTATTTGCCAAAATGATTTTCACAATGTTTGTCCTTGAGGGCTTGTGTTGACGTCTCTATATATCAGAAGAAGGAACCTGTTCACTGTAGATGGAAGGGAATGATATCCATCATTATTACCATTGTATTATACTTTTATTATTATAATTATATAGCTGTTATTATATCATTATAGTAATATTTATTATATAATGTAATAATAATA